GATGATTTCTGTTGGAACTTCACTTGTTCATCAATGATGTGAGCAACTTGTTTGTGGAATTGGATAATAGAATAGAAGAAATATTCCCTGTTTGCGGAATTGGATAATAGAATAGGAGAAATATTCCTTTGATATTTTCGCACTATTGGCAGTGTAAAGGCTACAGACACATTTTTCAGTTTAATGTGGCTTAACATTGTTTTTATCACCCTCTTAAATCTAGATCTAGACATCACAAAACAGTGAGTCAATTGACCTCTGATTTGTAGTATTTATCAATTTTCATGGTATAAATATAGTAGTTTCTCCTTAGTCTCAGGGATAGGTTCCAAGACCCCCACTAGATGCCTGAAACTGGATAGTGCTAACCATATATAATACACCATGTTTTTTCCTACACATACCTACATAGCTACTTATAAATTTTAAGTTACAAGTTGGGCATAGTAAGAGAGTAACAACAATAACTAATATAAAATTGAATAATTATAACAACATACTATAATTAAAGTTATGTGGGGTGGTGCCTGTGGCTCAAAGGAGTAGGGGACCAGCCCCATATATCGGAGGTGGCAGGTTCAAACCCAGCCCCGGCCAAAAAAAAAAAAAAAAAAGAAAGAAAAGTTATGTGAATGTGCTCTCTCTCTCAAAATGTCTTATCATATGGAATATTTCCAGATTGCCATTGACTGTGGGTAAACAGAAAGAACAGTAAGTGAAACCACAAATAAGGGGGGACTACTGGGCTGATTTCCAGTTCCCAGCATCATGTCAGTGAACATGGTGTTAGGAAGTGCTCAGCTATATACCATTATATATAACAGTGTTTTCACCATATGGCTACTGTGACGTAAATAACCTCAGAAGCATAGATCATTGTAAAATGTAGTCAAATAGCTAGGAAGTGACGACTTTTGAGTATTGTCTTTGTTTTAACCACAATTTATTTAATTGTAAGTGTATACATTTTAATATTTTGCAATTCAAATGATAGTTTGTTTCCCTTCCACCTTCACTGAGGTGTAATGGACAAGTAAAATAATTGTATCCATTTAAGGTATACAATGTAAGGATTTGCTGTCTGTACACACTGAGATATGTTTACCCATTTCAAGTTAGTGAACACATTCATGACCTCACATAGTTACTTTTCCTTTGTGTGTGACAATGAACATTAAGGTTCATTCTCTCAGCAAAAGCCAAATATACAATACAGTATTGTTAACTATTGTCATTATGCAGCACATTAGAGCCCCCAAACTTATTCATCTTATAACTGAAAGTTTGATTTGGTTCTTAATAATGGCTGTGTTTAACAACCAGCTCACAAACTTCATGGAAATTGGACAGCTCTAAAGTGAGCTGGTTTGAGCGGGCTCCAGCACGCTACTGCCCCCAGGAAGGTGAGGGTTCCAGATACGAGACTCTGTGGAGAGAGGTTCAGGCTGAATCAGCAGGGGCAGAGAGACACTGTGCTCCAGTAGGTGGAGGGAGGAGAGAGCCGGGGGTGGGAGGTGAGGCACAGAGCTGAGCCCTTGGAGGATCCTGAGAAGTTGGCCGTGGGAAGGAGAGGGTGGGCAGAATGGAGGTCAGTGTGCAGTGAATACATGCTTAAACCTTATCCTCGAATCACATTTATTTCTTTGTAGGTCATTTTACATGATGTTCTGAAGTTCTTATTTGTGTATATCGTGTTCTTACTTGGATTTGGAGTAGGTAATTGATTTATAAATAATAGTAGCTCACCCATTTGTAAAGCACTTTATATAGATGTAAAAAGGACAAAGCACTCAGTGGCCACGGCAATTATTTATATATAAGCTATCAACGGGGTATTTGTCATGCTTAGCATTTTCCAAGTGGTATCTTTTCACCTCTCTCAACACCTTGACCAAGTGGGAAGCATCCTGATCACAAGGTCACTGAGGCTTAGAGATTCCAGGAATCATACCAGGCCAGCCACTATTACCCATCTATGCCATGAGATATGCTGCCCATTCTCCCATCCATCTCATGTGGCCTGCACAGCCCAAGATAGGCTCTGCAGGTATTTTCAGCCCCATTTTACAGATGGGGAAACTAACGTTCATGAAAATTTGACTGATAGTCTTCGCAAAGTAGGAGTCCAAGTAGTGCACTGAAGTAACTTTCTTTGGTCTTCACAGCTTTTGCTCTCATAGTTTACCTCAGAAACATCTGTGAGAGCCTCTGGTCTTTTGGGGACCAGGAAAGGGGTGCTCCCTCTTAAATATCTCTATTTAAATAGAGGGAATGGTACAACTGGGCTTTATTTCTAAACTCTGCATAGAAAGAGTTTAGAAATAAGAGAAGTTTTTTTTTTCTTTTTTTTTTCAGTGATTATTGGCATTTGAAATTAGCCAGCTGTTCCCATCTGTCTGGTACCTTTTCCGAGTCAAAATTTGCTTATTTATTTGCTCCTTCACTTGCTTATTTATTCATCCACCCATTTACTCACTATCTCATTCATCCATTCACTCATTCAGCAGGGAACCACAACTGTGGTGTGTTGGAAAGAAGAGAAGAGTGAGCCCTAGGTCTTACTCCTGGGGAACTCGCAGCACAGTATTGAGAGGAGACTCAGGATCTTGCAGCCTTTGGGGAAGTGACCGAGGCTACAGAAAGTCAGGAGCTCAGAGACTGTTAGGGAGCCAGAGACACATACACAGATTATGATCAGCAACTCTGCAAGGCTGCAAGGGATCAAGGGCTAATGTGGGATCGAGGAGGGCCACAAGAGTATGCTCTTTGTTGGGCGGGAAGGGCAGAGAAACCAGTCTGATGAGGCTTTTGGAGGACCTGACACTGGAGATGGGATTTTAGTGGCCAGAGAGAAGGAGGCAGCAGGCCTGTAGGGTGGGCACGCATGCATGTGCAAATACACCAAGCTTATGGGGTAATCAGCCAGGCAGAGAGGCTGAAAGAACACCCTGTTATGTCCTCCCAGCCCTGGCCTCACTGATTGAGAAGTGTCCAAATGATAACAAGGACTGCAGCTCCTATGGCAGCTTCAGCGAGGCGGTGCTAGAGCTCTTCAAGCTCACCATAGGCCTGGGCGACCTGAACATCCAGCAGAACTCCAAGTACCCGGTCCTCTTTCTGTTCCTGCTCATCACCTACGTCATCCTCACCTTTGTCCTCCTCCTCAACATGCTCATTGCCTTGATGGGAGAGACAGTGGAGAACGTCTCCAAAGAGAGTGAGCGCATCTGGCGCCTGCAGGTGACCTTGGTGCAGGGGTGAGGGTGAGGCCTCCATGAGGACTCATCTGGGGCAGGGCCTGGGAGTCTGCATGAACTCTCCTATGACAGGCCAGGTTTGAGGAAACCTTTAGTTGAGGTTCTTTGAGTACAGGGTCTAGGAAGCATGGCTGAAGAACAGCATGTGTGAGAGAAACTCAGGCTTATGGGAGTGCTCTGCTCAGAGTTCACAGTGTGATATGTCGATATCAGAGCATGACCTTAGAGTGCCTCAAGATGAGTACAGGGTCAGGCACAATGGAGGTGACAATTCTGTTCTACTCTATCCTGGCCTTAATACTTTTAATATGCTGAGGACGCCAATGGGTCCAGAGGTGGTGACCAGGTTTGGGAGAGGACTAGAGACTGTCTCACAAGAAATGGTTATTGGAACTAGGGTTGAAGAAGATGAGAGTTCCTTCAGATATCTGCAGAGCTACTTGTGTGTGAGGGAGCAGTCCCCTTCTCTGGCCTCAGAAGGCAGAACTGAGCTACATGGGGGAACCACAGGGAGAAAAGCTGATTTGACATGAGAATGTTTCTAATTATTAAGGCTTTCTTAATTGGGTTGTTGATACTAGTCAAGAGAGATTAGAAAAAGTATAGCCAAGATTAAGCCCGGGGTAGAGAAGTGGGGGAGGACTACAAGATATCAGCCCTAGTCTCTACCCTTGAATTCCAGGATCCTATCACTCTTAACCAGGAAGCTGTCGGACTTCCAGCAATGTTATTTATGTCATATTGAAACCAATTTGAACGTCTTTCCTGGATTTCCTGCTTTTTTTGTCTTTGGATTCTGTAGATTAGCTGAACCCTCAAGGTCTGTGCAGTAAGCACCCAGTGAGGGTGGAGTGGGCTGTCTGATCGTGTCTTTGCCTGCACGCTCCTTAGACTTGTATATGTTCCCAGAGAGCCAGGACGATCTTGGAGTTTGAGAAAATGTTACCAGAGTGGCTGAGGAGCAGATTCAGGATGGGAGAGCTGTGTAAAGTAGCGGAGGAAGATTTCCGATTGTGTTTGCGGTAAGGAAAGGAGAAGGGCCCTGGGTGGGGGTCTTTGGGATGTGTAGAGAGGGATGAGTCAGCATGTTGCTCGCTGACACCACAGCCACTGTCTCTTTTGGTGGCCTGTCCAGTGTCCGGTTTAGAAAAGATTTGCCAACCTGACATTCTTTGTCCTGCTGTCTACCCTGTGTGGATTCTTATGACACCTGGGAACTCAAGGCACATTTCGTCACTGACAAATGGAATGTGAAACAGCTACTTTTGACATATCTTAAGTTTTCTGATTTTAGAAGAAGCTCTTGCATATCCTATGGCCTCCTTTTCTGAAAGTCTACTTCCTACCCTTACCCTATAGACCAACTTTTTTGAGTAAAACCTTAATCTACTTCTCTGACTGAAATCCCATCCCTTGGAAACCAACATTTCTGATTGTCATTGTTATCCTAACAGATATTTCTGATTTTGACACTCTCATTCTAGAGATGGTTCTCGGAATGTGAATTTAAGTCAAACCAACATCTCCTAAATTGTATTCTAACATCTTACATGCTGGCCCCTCTTACTGGAGTACGAACCCTAACTACCTTCTCTTAGTGCATTCTTGACCCTAGCTGAACTTCTATAGGCTTCATCCTTTTTTTTTTTTTTTGAGACAGAGTTTCACTCTGTTGACCTGGGTAGAGTGCCATGGCATCATCATAGCTCACAGCAACCTCAAACTCCAAGGCTTAAGTGATCCTCCTGCCTCAGTTTTTCTATTTTAAGTAGACATGGACTCTCTTGCTCAGGCTGGTCTAGAACTCCTGAGCTCAAGCAATGTACCCACCTCAGTCTCCCACAGTGTTAGCATTACAGGAGCCTCTGGGCCTAGCCTACAGGCTTAATCTTCACACTTCCTCAGTCAGGGCCCACCCTCTCTCCCTGTGGGCTCCCTCTGGCCAGTCAGGCACAGCTGCTGAAGTCTGAAGACGTGTAACCTTTACACCTGTCTGAGCAACTTGCAGCATCTCTGGGTACCATACACTGGGAGGAGAACTGATCCCTCAAGGCCTAGAGAAATGGAGATACTGACAGATTTTAAATCCTAAGAGACCTGGTATGACCACTTGGGGCAGGGGTACTCCTGATCCCTGGGATAGAAGAGATCTGGTCTAGAGACTGGGACATTCCAAATGTGGTGCTCTTTGCATTTAATGAGATGAAATTGTGAAGTAGAGAGAATGATGATCACACTTGCAGGATCAATGAGGTGAAGTGGACTGAATGGAAAACGCATGTCTCCTTTCTTAATGAAGATCCGGGACCTGTAAAACGGACAGGTACTGTTACTGTGGGTGGGATGGGGTCCCGTCCTGTCAAATCCAAGGGCTCTGACTTTTCCCATCTGTGAAATGGGAGGGTTGAATGAAGTTGGTACTGATATTTTATAATCCTAGTTGGAACAACTTTCTTTTTTTTTTTTTTTTTTTTTTGAGACGGAGCCTCAAGCTATCCCCCTGGGTAGAGTGCCATGGCATCACGCTCACAGCAACCTCCAACTTCTGGGCTCAAGCGAGTCTCCTGCCTCAGCCTCCCAAGTAGCTAGGACTACAGGCGCCCGCCACAACGCCTGGCCATTTTTTGGTTGCAGCCATCATTGTTGTTTGGCGGGCCCGGGCTGGGGATTCGAACCCGCCACCTTAGGTGTATGTGGCTGGCGCCTTAGCGGCTTGAGCCACAGGCGCCGAGCCGGAACAACTTTCAGAAAATTAGGTGGTACCCTAAGACATGGAAACATAGTATGCAGAGCGGTGTATTTCTAAAGTAGATTTTTTTTAAAGCAGATTTCAACAGAATTCAAGATTCTTCCAGGAGCAACAGCAAAACTACTCTCAATGCATTTGATGAAATAGATGAATTCCCGGAAACTTCAGTATAGAAGCAGAACCCAGAGCTGGTGTGAACATGGGCTGATGCTGCAGGCTGAGTACTTGGACCCTGGCTCTGCCAGCCTGGAAGCAGAAAGCACCCTCTGAGCAGGTGTCAGAACTGAGAGGCTGCTGTCGGTTTGTCTAAGTGGGAAACATCTTGGATTTTGTTATTCATCAGAGTTTGTGTAAACCCAAGCTGGCAGTCGGGAGCCTGGGAGTCTCCTGAAGTCTTGGGTCCACTTGGCTGGAAGAGATGGGTGATAGGGAAGAGGCAGGAGCCCAAGGAGCAGAGAGAGGAGTCTTTTCTCCTGCCAACATCTCCTTGACTGCCCCAACCCAGCCTACACATTCTGCCATCTCCATTACTGTGACTGAGTTGCCTGTATTTGTGGGAGACTCTGGATCCCATTCCAGAATGTGCAGGGCATTAAGATAACCCTAATAGGGGAGGAGGAGAGTAAGCCACAGAAATGCCCTTTTGGAACTTTCAGGGAACAGGAAACCATCCTTGGAATGAGTGCCTTTGGCACCCCAAGGCTCAAACTGTCTCAAACTGAGAGGTATTTTTAGTAGCATAATTAACACAGGGTTTTAATTTTCAGTATAGATAAAAATACATTTCAATTAAGAATGAAAATCACTGCAGATGAAGTATATGATTTTAGAAGCTGAGATATAGATTCTGGGCTTTTGGGCTAGCTGTATACTTGGCCTTAGGGTAGCCAGAACAAGACAAAAAGCTTTTCTTCATACACACAAAAGTCCACATAAGACAGCCAGGCAGGCCCTGCTGGGCCGCTGCGATCTGGGTGAAAGGGCTTGGCTCTCTTCCTTGTCCTGGTCTTGCGATAGTTCATGCCTCTAAGCTGGGATTGTGGCTTCAGCTGAAGCAGAAATAGCAGCAGCTCCATCTATGTGGTCTTAAATCTCAGAGGTTACTGGCATACCTCAGTATTTCTCAGTGGGGGAATTTAACAAAATGCCCTACATGATCTGGCGTGAAGTATTTCTGTTAAATGTGAATTTTGAAGCTGAAGAGGAAGCTTGTGAGGGATGAGTGTTTGCCAAGACTTGGGGCTTATTTTTAGATTCTCATTCTCTGATGTTCTTCCCCTGAAATGACACAGAGTCAGTTTAGGGGCAGAGACAAATGGAGATTGAAGGAATTTTCCAGGTGACTGGGGCCTAAACAACCAGAAAATCTACTCTGCCTGCATTATCTGCTGAAAGGATAAATGAGGGAAATTTTGAAGTGGCATTATAATAACCATGAATTTTGATTTTGAATGGCACAAATAGGAACTCGGCCTTTACATGACTTGGCAATTGGCTAGTTAATCTGACTGAAGGCAAATGATGGAGTTCAGGCCAAGAAATTCACTCTGAGCCAGTCTTTCCGCTCTGGGGTGCTCTGTGTACCAGCCTAGCTGGGTAGGTAGAGACTGGTAGAGACTTGTCCTCAGTGCCTCTGATGGGCCTAGCTAGGCAGGGAGATGTAGGCTGGGCAGAAGATGCAGCATGGGAGACTTCATAGTGTGCAGTGGCCCTGCACTCCCACCTGACCTAGGGAGTCAACTCTTGCTTTGAGCCATAATGGTCAGACCAAACTCTGAGGGCAAAGGGGCCAGGCCCGTGTCTCTTGAGCAGAGAAGATTTGAGGGAGACTGTTATGAAAGCAGAAGGAGCAGATGTGTTCTGGATGGGCTGGCCTAGTAAAATAACTTGAGAAAGATTTTGGCTTACTTCAGTTCAGCAACTGCTTCAGATATTGGAGGTGTTTTAATACAAGCTGGTTTAGCACTTATGAGGGGTGTTGTTGAAGATGCTAGTTGGAGGAACTTTAATTTCTCTTTTCACTTGAAGAGTGTACAGGTCAGCTCTCCATATCTGGAGTTACCTACTTGCATTTACCTTGAACGGATGTCTGGTTTGAGGGGCAGTTATTTGGACCCATTGTATCATGTTCTATACTACAAAGCTGGAGATTCCAGAATTGTTTTGACTTGAATATTAATGCTTAAAGCCATACGGTTCCCCATTCCTCACTTGGACAAAAGCTGGAAGGTTAGGCAAATGGAAATCAGTAACTGGATCTTTGCCTTCTCGTGCATTGTGAAGCGCTGCTCTCTGTGGATCTGGATGGACTTTGTTGGCAACAGTATTTTTCTGTAGTGGTTATTCTCAACAGTGGTATCCACAAAATGCTCCCAGCCTAGAAGATCAGAGCCTAGGTAGTTTTGCAAAGAAACTACTTGCAAAGTACTTTGCAAGAAGCATCAGAGTGAAAAGGGCCACTTTCTTCACTGTATCCCTGAAGACTAATGCTCTGAGAGGAATGTGCACTTGTTCACAGTCATGTGAGAAGTCTTATCAGAGCTGCAGAAGCTGAAGTGTTCTGATTCTTGGATCACAAATACCCCCTGCACACCACCATTTGTCTTTAAGCATAACTATGCAGTAAATTTAAGTCTATCTTTGTGGCTGGCATATGTCAAGGGGCAGGACTTTTTGCTTGGATGACTCCTTTGGCAGTCCACATTGTCCCTTTGATACCTACGACTGGTTAAAAATTCAAGTGTACATGCAGGTGTGCACACCACCACCACACACACACACACACACACTCCCCACTTTAAAACAAAACCACGAGCCTATCAGGATATCTTAAAACCTCATGATTTACATTTCAGTGATTGAATGGGAAGGTGTTGTCCAGGGATGAGATCTCCCATGCTCAGAGAGTGGCTTTGGCTCAAATGCTCTTTCAGCTAAACTTTTCCTCGAGAAGAATTCATTACAAGTTTGCATTAAAAAGGGTGCTTACCCATGGCACCTGTGGCTCAGTGGGTAGGGTGCTGGCCCCATGTACCAAGGGTGGCAGGTTTGAACCCAGCCCTGGCCAAACTACCACCACCACCACCAACAAAAAAATAGCCTGGTGTTGTGGCAGGCGCCTGTAGTCCCAGCTATTTGGAAGGCTGAGGTAAGGGAATCGCCTAAGCCCAGGAGTTGGAGGTTGTTGTGAGCTGTGATGCCATAGCCCTCTACTGAGGGCGATAAAGTAAGACTTTGTCTCTACCAAAAAAACAAACAAACAAACAAACAAAAAAAACAAGAAAAAAAAAGATGCTTACCTTCCTCCTGGGATATGGGAGAAGATGTTCTAGGCTATACTGTGAATTCATTAAGCTCTTGGAAGGCTTCTGCCTGACAGAGCTCAGTATTATTGATGCTCCTTTCTTTCTTCACAGCCTGGTGAGCTGTGTCCTTCTGCTCTGGGTGGGGCCCAGGTGGATGGGCCATCATCCAGGCCTGTAAGGTATATCTGATATCTACGTGGATTTACGTGTTTGTTTTTTTTTACACTGTGATCTTGGTTCCAAACAAAGAATTGTCACCCCACTTTATTGAATGTGCCTGACCTTTATAAATTCTAAACTACGTACTTGTTGGTGTTGTGTGTGTGTGAAACCCAATGTTTAGGAAAGAAGTCAAAAAAAGAGTAAGAACATTTTGTGAGATTGGAGGAATTTTTTTTTGATTTCTAATAAATATTTATTTTGCCTTCTAAATGGCCATGTTTCTTCCTTGCCTTAGGTGTGCCAATATGAAAACTGGCATATTAGAGTGTTGCTGATAGGAGCGGGTAGAGGGAAGGCTGGGTTTTGGACCTGCAGCATTACCACTGGATTGGGCCTGGCTCAGGAACAGAGCCAGAAAGCTGTAAAACACCTCACCTTTGTACAGTGTTTACATTTCAAAGTGCATTCAGGTTCAGTACCTCCATTTGAACCATTTGGCCACTTTGACAGCAGTTTGAGTAAAAGGAAACTCCTGGAGTTGAAGTGACATGCTCAAGGATTCACAGCCAGATGATGCTGGCAGTTTAGTCCATACACAACTCCTCCTATGCCCTGCCCCCCACCCCCAAGCTGGCTCTCAACTTATTTTGAATGGATATAAAGCCATGGCTCTATCTGGTCCTTGGAGACCAGAAGGAATAAATCCTGCCTGTCTACCTCCTGCCATGAGTGGGCAATGAGAGAATTGATATTGAAGAGCTGATATTATTACTATCATTATTGCCTATGAGCCCCACTTATATGCATTTTATCATTTCCATGAATTATTTCATAAAGACAGAAGTTCTTAACTTGAATGCCAAGACATTCTTTGTCTTGATGAGTTGAAACTTGCAACCAATTTGTTAATAAGTGAAATGCTGCGTTTGGTGAATTATTTACTTACTTCAGATGATTCCAGGATAACTTCCTTCACTGTGATGTGTCTTGTTGAGTGGCAAAGAAGTGGGGGTTGTATACAATCCCAAACCTAGCTTAAACAGGCTTTATACATAATCTTGGAATGTGCCATCCTTGAGAATATTCTGGGTAGACTGATAGAAAAAAGTGGAACCTCCTGTTATAAGTTACATTTGTGGGAATGAGATACCACAAATATAACACTGGTCAATTGGTGTGAACATTTTTATGACTCTTGGTAGTGTGAAAAATTGTTCATCCTTTGATACTGTATGTTTGAGCGTTATACTCTTTATAAAGCTCTTTCCTTCATATTATCTTATTATTATTTTTAGGTGAGTTAGAAAAGTCCCACCCAGAGACATAGTTCTGGGACATATCCTTCTAAAAGTCATTAGGGAAAAGAAGAATCTTAGAATTCTGAAAACCCTTGCCAGTATGAACATACTTCCTGCCACTTCTTTATTCTCTATGCTCAGTAATGTCCCTCTGGAGTAGAAGTCCCTTCTCTCCAAAAAGAGGAACCACTGGACTCATAGGCTTGATTTTCCCTGACTGGACACAGAATGGTGATGCAGAGTTGACTGTTTTCAATAATAAATAGTCACCAGAAGGGGAGAGGGGGGTGGAAGAAGTAAGCAAGAAAAAAGAAATGAGAAAAGGAGAGTTTTTTTTTTTCCTTTTTATTGTTTGGGATTCATTAGGGCACAAAGAATTAGATCATACTGATTGTATTTGGTAGATAAAGTCCCTCTTATAAAGTCCCGCCCCCAAGAGGTGTGCCATATACCATGAC